TATCAGAGACATACTTTTGTTGCTGACATTCTGTAGTACAGGTAACATACATGTATGTTACTTGTTACATAACTCGTTACCTCGTGATACTTGCTATTATGTATTTTATACATATATGTTACATTACTGTGTTTGCTGGGAAGATTCCATCGTCGCACGGTCGAGATCGAAGAAATATCTCGCGGCTGCCTTCGAATCGGGATCTTATCGGAATGTGATAAAGGTAAAGCGATCCGTTGCTCCTCGCTATATTCTATTTTATCGGTGTAAAGTACTCGAAATCTAACAATCGTAGATTGGCGTCACTCGCTTGTTATCATCGATATTCTCGATCAGCGTGACTAGATTTTACGCCTAACAGTTTATTTAATTCCGACGCGCGATTAAGCGCCCGCGAAGAAATAACACGGAAGTAACAATCTCATTTCTGGAAAGAGCGCGTTTCCAGTCTGTTCGTTGTGAACTATCGACGTGAAAGTCTGCAAAATAATTCGCGATCGCACCCGAGACGCGCAACTAATTTCCCGGCGAAGGGGAAAAGCGGCAGAGGAAAGCCCATTGTTTCGTTGTCTCTTCCTCGCGTGTGTTCTTCGAGATAGCCGAGGGAGGAAAAATGCCTGAACTCGAATCGACAGTCCCACGGGAGCCTAAAACGCGCACGTATGCAACTTCCACGCAGACATCAGTCCGGTAAGAATCCTCGCGTGTCAGTGTAATTGGAATATTTCGACGAAGACCGGCGATTTCATTTATTTATCGGCTCTTTAGCTTCGTCAAAATCTCCTCGAACGAAAAACCGCCAACGATTGGACGTGTCGTGTCGAGAGCGTATCGAGAATATGAATTTCAAATAACGTTTTTGAAATGATAAAATATCTATGTACTGTCGAGTTATAAGGAAGACTAGAAACTCGCATCGCTGATTACGTCTTCGTTATCTATTCACCTTGTATCTGTTCGTCATCTCCATCCTTCCTCCGTTTCTTTGATCAGTTTTTTCCGCGTAATACTACCAGCGAGAAATAACGTAGTTGATCAATGTTGAATCGACATCGGTACCGTCAGATTGATGTCAAATCGACGTCAATTTGACAGCTTTCGACAAATTGAATCATGTATTGCTGAAACACCCTAAGTCACTTTTCGACACTTCTGAATTTTGACGCACACATTGTAATTTAGGTCAATTTGCATCGTTTAGCGCTGAAACACCTCAAGTTCCTATATTCCATAGTGTTGTTTGCGTACTTTAAATATAACACATCTGGTATTCTAAAGGCTTCTGAATTCATTCGTGTGGCGAGTGTGGCGCAGAGAAATGTGCGCTGTTTAGTAAACAAATGAACGAAAAGATCCGAGTTAAAATCCACGGACACCGCTGGTTTTTTTGGAATCTCTCGAAAGAAAGTTGCAACCACCGACAGTATCTTGCCACACACACCCCTTTAGGGGTATAGTCCTCCAGAAGGGAGGTTTCCTTCGGCAAGGTTAGCAGCCTACCGAAGATGAAGTAAAACCAAATGCTCAAAGTACCAGAACGAGAACTGGATAAAACAGGCTTTAAGCCTAGTACACGAGGAAGAAGAAGAATTCATAAATGGACTTACGTGGCATACATTTACTAATCTACGATTACCTAAGTCATCAAAGAATACAAAAAATATCCAGTTACCAGAGCAACAAGCATACACTAATAAGACTATCGTTGCTGGAAGCTAAAATCGAAAATTTGAAGCTATTTTTAACCTTTGTACTCCTATGTCGAGTGTGACTCGACATCAGTTTTTATCTCAGGAGCTTCTTTGTCGAGTCTCATTCAACATTTTTTCACGTCCAAACCAATAGATAAAAATAAGATGAAATATAATTCGATGGGTGCCAGAAGAACATCAATTTCTATACCAGGACATAATTTTTCCGAAAAATTTTCCGAACAGGACATAAATTTTCCGAAAAAAATAAAACTTTTACAATAGATATTAAAGATTACTCAAATATTTTCAAAATTAATTTTTAAAAACTTATCAACATATTATGTTATTTGCTTTCCTACATGTAAAATAAAATGTGTCATTGTCAACTAAGTACTGCACTCATTTTCTACAAATATTGCTGCAAACAGACGTGAATAGTTTTTTCACCTCCTGAAAATTTACAAAAAGTGACTTAGGGTGTTTCAGCAATACGCGATTCAATTGTTTCTCACTGGGTACTTCTGGCAGACGTCACGTGTTTAAATACGAGGGTCGTTTGGTAAGTTTGATAAATTTCTAAGGGCCAGTTTCACAAACGTTGATTAACTGTTAACCAGGGTTCAGTCAAATCCCTATCTATTTCTATCTTATTATCTAAGAAGAGACAGAGAATTAATTAACCGACGTTTGTGAAACTCGCCCTAAGAGTTGACAGCACAAACCATTTGATGATGGGTTGCCTGGTAAGTTTTATTCTTTAAACCACCCTGGCCAAATTTTAGCTAGAAGTGATGTGTTGTTCGCAGTTTGTTTGAAGCGAGCGGTTTACCTGTTGCCACAATAATGGGAAAAAAACGAATTACACGAATTAGGTTTTGATTTGGTTGCCATATTCTCTGGATTTGACCTCGTGCGACTTCTTCTTGTTCCTGAACTTGAAAACTTGGGTCGATGGGAAGAAATTCTCGCGAAATGTCCTCATTTTGCGAGAATTTCAAATGACTATCGAACGTGAACCACGCGTCACTTCTAGCTGAAAGAGTGAGAACAAGTGTCCATGGACAAATGGCCCCAAATTTTTCTGCACTCGATTTTGATCACAAAGTAGGTAACATATCGGGTTCCGTTCCATTCCAAACAAATGGTTGGTGTCTGGCCAGATGGCTTCATCGCTTACGTTCTGGCAATTTTTCGAGCCCGATATTTTTGGAACGTTAAATAGACACACTCTGAGACCGACATATCTGTAATCAGCTTGACGAGGCCTTTAACTTGGTACTCTAAAGAATGAAAATTACTAGGCAACTCGTCACATGGATTGTGGTGTCAACTCTTATTGTTAGATATTTACCAAGCTTATCGAACGACCCTCGTAATAACCAGTGAGAAATGATTCGTCGAAACGATGTCGTATCGACATCGACTCTGTCAAATACGACGTCAATTCGACATCGATTGACGAGTCATTTCCCGTTGAAAAGGTATAGAGACTATTAGAGATTTATGTATTCGTTACGTACGCGCGTGTGACCGAGGGGATCAAATTATTACTGCAGGAAAATCGTAAACCTCGAGACAACTTCGGGCAGAAAGGATTTCAAGAGAGTGGAAAATTGGTATGTCGAAAATGTTTCGCTGGAGGAAACCTTCAAGGACTCGCGAATACCTTTAAAGCGTTACGCCAGATAAGTTTGCTTTATCGTTGGTTGTCGCATACGTCACAATTCTCATTTGAAATATTTCTGTAACTACGTTGTCAGCGCTGAAACGAGTAAGCTGAGCAGTATATTTAAAACACTATTGGGAATAGCCAGTCATTGCACGGTGATTAACACTTTTCCTTATAAAAAATTCTACAACATTAAGTCCGTAACGTAAAATGACACAACGTATTGTAACGTATTGCTATGTAAAGATACAAGATGTATATCGCCTTTCACAAAAAATTATTTAACGAGAACAGCGATTTAGTGGGAAAAACTAACGGAACACTATAAGATGTGAACTGAGGAATTTATATGGTATTAACCCTTTGAAGCATATATTTTTCTATTGAACCATTTTTTGTGAAACTTTGTATACAAGGGTTTTTGGGGTCGCTAATTACGAATTCGTTATCAGATTTTCATAATTCAAAATGGCGGATTCAAGATGACGGAATTCAAAACTTACAAGAGTAACATTATTCAACTGTAATTTAACTATTTAACAAAGTTTTCAAGAAACAATCTTAAAAAACTTAGTCAATAATGAATTTTTCCGAAAAACAATTGCTGTTATTTATATTTGTTTAGTTATAAAACTTTTACAATAAATATTAAAGACTACTCAACTTTTATCATGTTCTTTTATTGCTAAGATACCAAAAAAATGCAAAAAACGCGATCTAAATGCGTTAACTAGAAATTAAATGGGCAAAAAGTAAAGAAGTTGAGGTGGTAACGTGGGTTACCACCATGCTTCAAAGGGTTAAAATTGATAATTTTGGGATTAAAATTTAAAGTGAAATGCACATAATTTTATATGTTAATTATATAACATTGTAAAATATAAAATATTTTATAAGATACATCTATTATATAAATACTAAGTACATGAGAATTCCTAAATTGATATTCCAGAATAGGGAATTTAGTTCAAATTCGTATTATATCATATTAGAAAGATTTTAAATTAACACGTCACATAGCACAGCGACATCACAGTGATATCAGTGTGATATCTGTTTAAGGATATCCCATATCCCAGAGATATCTTGAGATATCCAAATTACATCAGTGTGATATCACGGGAATATCC